CCCCACGGCTGAAAGGGCGAGCATGTTTGGTGGGATGGGGATACGAACCTGCGACCCGCAGATTGCGAGTCGAGCGTCCTAATTTCGTTCAGGTGACGTTAGCCTTAAAAACTGTGATGGCAGAAGCCAGCATGTTGGATCTGATATTGATGCTCTGAAGACGCTTGTTGAGTTTAACCTAAGGCAACACACTCGTGAAATGGCCATGAAATTTCATATCTCTCGTGAACCAGTATGTAAACGTCTAACTAATATGGGAAAACTTCGTAAAGAAAGTGTTTGGATGCCTCACGAACTCTCCAATGATCATCATTTCCAACATGTGAACATTGCTTCGTCTTTTTTTTTCTGGCGCGTGAATCATTTTTGGACAGAATTGTCAAAGGTGATGAAAAATGGATTCTTTATGTGAATATTAAATGCCAAAAAACAATGGCTCAGTCCTAGACAAAAACCACTTCCGACCCCAAAATCTGGACTCTATTCGCAGAAAGTGATGCTTTGCATTTAGTGGGACATCAAAACAGTAATTAGTTTCGAACTCCTCAATCCACAGCGACCTGTCTATGCAGAGATCTATAGTCAGCAACTGGAGCGTTTAAATCAAGTCCTTCATCAGAAACGCCTTTCACTCGTTAATCGGAAAGGTGTTCTTCTTCTCCACGACAATGCATGAGCACATGTGGCACGTTTGACACAACACAAGATTATGGAGTTAGATTGGGAAGTTCTCCCCCACCCACCATATTCTCCAGATATGGCACCATCAGACTACTATCTATTTTGTTCGCTGCAACACCATCTTCATGGGAAAACGTATGCAAATATAGAAGGTGTAAAAGAGTACATCGACATGATTTTTGCTTCAAAGCCAAATGATTGCTTTAATCAGGGCATTAACAACCTGATTGTAAGATGGGAAAGCATGATCGATAGGAATAGAGACTATTTCATTTAATAAATGTTTTATTTATTTTAATACATATGTTGTTCGTTTTTTCTCTTCCACAAAAAGCTACATTAATTTATTGACGACCTATTATATATATATATGTTCGTTTTTTTTCATCTATTTTATTGTATAATGTCAAATTAGTAAAAGTATAAGTTTTGATTATTGTATGATATTGCCCTTTTTTGCGTCAGATTAGGTAAGATAGTTCTATTAGGACAGGAAATGCAATAATTTAATTCTGAAAATCTTCAAACAATAAGTTTTAATTATTGTATCATCTTTATTACGATGAATTAATTATAAATGTTTTAATGAATTAGTGCTAAGAATTCCTTTTCAGGACTTGATTTAATTATAAATATACTAATGAATTAGTACTGAAAAATCTTTAAAAAATAAGTTTTAATTATTGTATCGTCTTTTTTAGGGGAAATTAATTATTAATGAATTATACTAACGAAGAGTTCTTTTTTATGATTATTTAATTACAATTGAATTAGAGCTAAGTGTCTTTTTTATGACGATTTAATTAATTAATGGTTATTTATCGACATGATGAGACATGTATTGCATGAGTTTAAAAAATAAGTTTTAATTATTGTATCGTCTTTTTTAGGGGAAATTAATTATTAATGAATTATACTAACGAAGAGTTCTTTTTTATGATTATTTAATTACAATTGAATTAGAGCTAAGTGTCTTTTTTATGACGATTTAATTAATTAATGGTTATTTATCGACATGATGAGACATGTATTGCATGAGTTATAGTCACTTGTCATGGCGGCCTAGAAACACTTCTCTACTTTGTGGTACTTTTACGTAATCATCAATTATGGCCGCCTGTCTGGTGTGGAACTATAATTTCAGCCCTCCATAAGTTATTTTTTCCCTCTGGTGACACTTTGTTGAACTATGACGTAATGGCCGCCTGTATGGACGTCTTTATCTTTGATGACATCACCTCCTCTCCCCTGAGGGAGCCAATCAGCGTTAGGTGGCACCCTTTGGATGCGATAGTGCCAACCTTATTACTCACATCTAACTTCAGCTTTTCTTTGATAACTTGAACTCTACTGGTATAGATATAAAGACACGAAAACAAATTAACCTCTCTCCTATTCAAATGTACCTTATGCATATAATTGATAAACTGTTTTACGATAAGCATTCTTGCTTATAACTGGTGCACTGACGTAATGTAGGTAGTGAGACAACTTATAATTAGAAGAATCAATAACTTACACGATAATTCTTATTGGAATCCTAATTTTGTTTAGCTTAGAAAGTTCTTAAAACCAGATGATGTGGCTATTAGTGATGAATCTCAAAACACTTTTAAAGAATCCGAAATATCAGTTTGTAATCACACATTGCATTACCTTTTACTTTAACATCATTGGTTTTGACAATTTCTTTACTATTTTTATCCTGTTTTAATTCAGATTGTAGCTACGATTGGCTGTTTGCCAGGCTAACTCTTCGAACAATTCCTTACCTCCATCGCGAACTCGGGGTAGCCATGCCTGAAATTGTGTTAATATCTCCTTTTACAAGCTAATGGGGCCAAACTTAGTCACCATGCTTAGTTACCAAGGGCGGACGTCCAAACTGGTGTTTTTATGGGCACAAACCCCTTGAATTAAAAAAATAATTGTCAGTAAGAGAGGAGTCTTATCCGTACACTGGAACCTCCGTATAAATTACAGATAACAAACATAAAAACAATTCCTTATTGTACTCCACTTTGTTTAGCAATACCATAAAAATAATAATCTAATGGTGAAATCAGAATGAAATCAAACGTTATTTTACTATCAGCCTTAAATTCTCTATTTCTAAACTTAATTGATTTGTTTGTTTGTTTCATAATGTTTTGAGAAACTAACCAAGAGCTAACTGTGCATAGCTATCTCTAATTTTGAACTAAATATTTTAGAGGAAGGAAGGCAGCTAGTCAAAAGCACCTAATGCCAATTCTTGGCTGCTCTTCTCTGACTAAAGAGTTGTAATAGATTCTCATTCTTAAAGCGCACCCACAGTCCCAAAGCGCGGATAGCATTTTTGTAAGAACAGGATGTGAAAAATACTTTAAGGATCTCAGTCTGAGACTTTAGTCACTGGTCACAAACGGTCCAGTAAGATTACTTGAAGGAACTTTGATGTTCATTGAGCATTCTATCTCTTCTCACTTTTTGTACAAAATCACTCCTTCAACAGACAAAACCTGTTTAACTAAGATAAAGTGGTTATAAGTAACTTTGTTGAACATAAATATTCCTGGTTTTTTAGTAGTTTTGGACGAAATATTTTCACTATTTTAATTTTGCTCTAAATTGTGCGATTTAGAACGGTGCACACTACAGGGTTCGGATTACGAAAAAGTGGAAATGTGCCCTGTTTCAAATTTTTTTCTATTTATCTCCCTTCTAAAGTAAACATCTTAAAATAAAAATACCCTCATACTTCATCTGACAGTTTCCAGTTATCAAACAAAAATTTACGATAATCGAGCAAACCAAGTTTGGGTGAGTGATGCTAATACACACACACACACACACACACATATATATATATATATATATATATATATTAATGATCCTAATTCCAAGCTCTTTTACTGTGAAACAGTATTCAGTGATCTTAAATATTCTTCTCTGTTATTTCATATACGTTTTCACCTTCAACAACCCGTAGTTTAAGAATAATTTTTGCTCTAGAATATGATAAATGATGTCCGAAAATTACATAATATTTCATATGTTGGTGCTGTTTTGAAAAATAAACTGTCCAGCCCAATCAAATAAAAAATATTTAAAACGCTTAGAAGAAACCTCATATTCCTATGGCATTCCCACTTTACGATGTGTATTTAAATTTTCAGATAATGGAATAAATTCCTTTAGTGTTTTTCTTTCATTATATGAAACCTTCAAGCCAATTTTCATACTAAATTGCTTTATGGATAAGTGTTTGCAAGTCAAAATAATATCAAGAATATTGAAAGCATCATTAATGTTGATTAGAATTCTAGTATTCTATGATTTTTACCATTTCTTTCAATATTAAGTTCATTAGAAATGTCTTTTAGTTTTATAGATTGAAACAGAATGTTACAATGGATATTTTAAAGAAAACACAACTAAGCAAATGATTGTGTTTCTTACCATATCAAGTAATACACTATTTACCTAGAAACTCGTGAGTTTCTTAACACAATAAACTACCCTTTTAGTTTATATCTCATAAAAAATTCAAACTGAAAAATAACATTTCTATTAAATTTATTGTATGCTTGTAGATCTTCACATTTTCTTTGTATGTTGTAGATCGTGTATCACATCCCAAACATCTCAGAGGACTAGAAGTTTTGGACAAAATTCCCCGGTCTGAAATGGGAAAAATTCAACGAAGAACTTTGCAGAAATACTATTATCAAAATTACAAGTAAACTGCTAATTGTTTTTTTTTTTCTCTTTTTCTTTTTTTTTTGGAAATACTGCTATGACCTCAAATACTTCGATGATAAAAACAATGGTATTACATTTGTTAATACTTTGATGAAATATGTTTATCACATTCATGTTAACCATACAATAACAGGCTTCAAATAACAATGAACTAAAAACAATCATTTTAGGCCTTGTTTTGTCTGTTACATCTCATTAATTAGGTGGCTTTTCTATGAATTTCATAACATATCAGCTAGACTGGAGGAATGGCAACTAATAGACTATTGGATGTATTATTTCTATTCACTTACAAGAAATCATTGTTATGGTATGAAATTGCTTAAGCTATCAAATCAAGAGTTCGTTAAACACGAATAAAAGTTATGTTTAACTATAGATTTCTTTAATATTTTATAGGTTTTAAATAACATGTACGATTGTTTGTTTGTTTGTTTTTGAATTTCGCGCAAAGCTACACGAGGGCTATCTGTGCTATCCGTCCCTAATTTAGCAGTGTAAGACTAGAGGGAAGGCAGCTAGTCATCACCACCCACCGCCAACTCTTGGGCTACTCTTTTACCAACGAATAGTGGGATTGACCGTCACATTATAACGCCCCCACGGCTGAAAGGGCGAGCATGTTTGGTGTGACGGGGATTCGAACCCGCGACCCTCTGATTGAGAGTCGAGCGCCCTAACCACCTGGCCATGCCGGGCCAACATGTACGAAAACAACACATTTGAGAACTATTTTCTGTCTGCCAGATATCACTACTGCTCAGCTTTTCTGTTCAAAACCAAATTTTTTTAAGTCCATCTGAGGAATTCTTGTACTGAACGTCTGTGATAAACGGACACAAAATACCAACTAAGAAGAATGTGACACAAATACCATTTTATTCGCACACAGATTTTGGCCCTCAGTGTTTTAGCAGTAAGTCTGAGAGCTTATAATACTAAAAATCAGATTTCAATACTTGTATTTGATACAACACCTATTATCTAATTTGTAGCTTTCCATTTAACAACAAACAAAGCGTTGGTTTTCTTCGATTTTTTTAACATAATAAATGTATACATTTTACTATCGAGATCGAATATGATCTACATATAAAAGTTTATAACTTTCGGACTTATAAATTTCATAGTACTACAATATAATGGAGGTTTTAGAAGAACTTTTAGACCTTTTTAAAAGGGTAGATGAAGAAAATGATTTTGTATGTATGAGGCTCATATTCAAACATTACAGTTATCTCCTAAATAGATTGATCGGTTGTTTGAAGTGATGCAAAGCAGTGAAGTACGTATTTATATGGAAAAAAAGTAAAAGT